AGTTGTATAACTAATGTATGTCAAACCATTAGTGATGCTCATACCAGCTCTTGTACAAGTAAGTAACCTGATAAGACTGTCTGAACTTTCAGTTAGTAATCCATCGAGTTTACGTATGATGTGACAACTTTTTTTTTCTTTTAAACAACCTTCAAAAAGGAGCCGACAGGCGTCTGTTTCCTCAACATGAAGCAGAATTCCTTTCTTCTAGACACAGTCATGTCAATTTTCCCAATAACTTGGCTATAATCACAGCTTGGCAGCATTACATTGGATTACACCATAATGAATGATTAAGGATATTGTATTTAAGTACCTTTAGCTCCTGTTAAATCTGCATAATAATGTAAGACGGTTTTTACTTTTGGCAGCCCAAACAATCTCAGTAAAAGCTTAAGCAAAACATTTAGATCTATTAGACCTGCAATCTAAGAGGAAGGAAAGTAATCGCCCAAGAGGAACTTCAGTTACATGTTAAACCATCCTACAATATAAATTTAATCATGTCACCTAAAAAAATAAATAAATTAATCAGTTAAACAGATTTTTCAAATTCTGCCACCTAATAAATATGGATCCAACTTGGCATCGCTTAATGCTCACCTTAAAATAACTTGCTCAAAGACTGTGAACGGATTAGCTGCACGTGTTCTAACGTATGTTACTGACCCTTACCCTTTAAACAGACACAGCAGATTTCAGGAATGTTCAGTAAAGTTGGAGACAGAGATTGAAATAGTTTCCATGCTTTCAGTGTGTTTGTATTCTGTGATCCTTCCCTTATTTCTGTAACCGATGAAAAATCTGTTTAGACTTGTCCCGTTTGCTCTCCTGCTGCGCTGCTCTTATCTTTAAGGGTGGTGGTTTCGGTTGCCGGTGGGGCGATTGCGGCTGCTGCAGGAACTGCTGCCGGCGCTTCCACCAGTGGGACCTTCTCCTTCTCAGGAGAGGCTGAACGATTCTCAGCGTTGCTGGTGGTGGCAAGGTCATCAGCTGGGGGAGCGGCATAAGGTTGAGCAGAGCCAAAGCCACGGGAGATCTCATCGAATGTCTTTCCCTTGGTCTCAGGGACTTTTAAAAATGTGAAGATGAAAAAGAAGATGAGGAAGGCTGTGAAGATGAGGAACACCCAAGGACCACACAACTCCTGTGGAGAGAGAAATCAGAAAATTCAATCAAAACTAGTACTATCTCACCTATTATCTCACCTGATATAAAGATTTAAGTAAATTAGGTCAAACAAGAAAAAAAGAGAGCATTGGAACAAAACGGACAGAATGAGAAGAAGGGAATCAATCAGAAGATCTTCTCACCACTAATTTAGGAAAGGTCATTCCAACAAGGAAGTTAGCTGTCCAATTGCAGCATCCTGCAACGGCCATGGCTGCAGGACGGGGCCCCTGGGAGAAAAGCTCGGCCACGATGAACCACGGAATAGGACCGGGTCCCAGCTCAAACATAGCCACAAAGAGCATGACAGCCAGGATGGCCACGTAGCTCATAGCTGCGATGTGCTTCTGCTCAAACAGTGGGAAGAGACGGAAATCATCAGACTGGCTGGCTGAACATTTGATTAGACTCTAATGAGAAAGAGAGCATCTGCACACATCTCAGAGTGCCTCTCAGGACTCCATGTAACTGTGTTATTTTATTCTTCTAGGAACCGTCTTCAGATTTCTGTCCACCGGAACAAAACATTATAACAAAGAGACATGAAATGATGGCAATAATTTATTATTTCATGAGCTAGAAATAAATCAAAATGATTTGAAAGGGAAAAAATCAAAATATAATTCAACAAAAACATTAATTCAGCTCTACAGCTTTTATAAACATGTTCTGTGCAATATGCTGACTGTGTAATATATGTGAATGTAATAGTCATACCACTACCTCACCGTTGTTCCTTACTTACTACACTTTATGATACATGTGCACTTGCACCTTAATCCTTATTTATCTTGATTTACTGTATATACCTTGATATACTGTTATACTATATATTGTTTATCCTTAATGCACCTTTTTCCTCCTTGTTTGCACCTTCTTTAATTACTGTGCCAATATGACCAGTGAATTTCTCTAAAGCTCATCTAATCTAATCTTATTCAATTCATTGCAGCTTTATAGTTTTAATATCAGATCTAATTTTAAAGTTGTTGGAAGTCATATATAAATGTCAAATCATTCTGGATTAAACATGTATTTAAAGTTTTCTTTATCAGTACTCTTTATTATTTGTCCCAAAAGTTAGAATATTTCTAAAAAAAAACAAAACAAAATCCTGTCTTAAAATCTTTTTTTTTTTTTTGTCTCATTATCCTATGCAGGCCAGTTAGTTATACGTCAGCTTGTACACCTAAATTCGGCCAATCATATATCAACGGTCATCTGTCAATCAAATTCTGGTCATAGCATTTTGATTCATATGTCGCAGCTAATATACGCAACGGTTGAAATAAGGAATAAGAAACATTTGATAAAGGACCAATCACATTCACTTTATTCACTTGTGTAAAGTCGGGCACCACTCAGCAAAATTTGGAAATGGTTGGAGCAGCCGCTTCCCTACGACTTTAAAGGGTTTTTATAATAAGATGCTTCCCTGCATGGGATGTGTTCAAACCACTGATTTATGGAGGCTTAGTGGCCTCAGACATGATGCCAACTATCTCTCTGTGTTCAAAATATTTGATATACTTATTAACTCACCAGATAGAGGGAGAAGGTCATAAGCAGGGCACTGAGAGCCATCCCTCCCAATCCCAGGAGATGGAGAGTCCTTCTTCCAGCCCTTTCTACTAGGAAGAGCTGAATGACAGAGAGGGGATTGATTATCTGCAGAATGCAACTAAAGACATGCAGGATATCCAGAAACTACTGAGTCCACGTACAGAGACGACGGTGAAGATGGTGTTGACGATGCCGGCTCCTATAGTGGCATAGATGGGTTGCTTCACTCCAGCTGAGCTAAAGATCCCCGTAGAGTAGTAAAACACCTGCAAGACATAAACAGGGATGAAAAAGGAAAATTGTGGTTAAATTGAAAGTTGTTTCTAGGTTTTAAAAAATGCTTTTTTGTTCACAAATCAGATTTATTGAGAAAC